TCCAGACCTGGTGCTCTATCCACTGTGCCACCTAGCTGCCCCATAGAAGCCATCTAGTTCAATTCTCTTCATTTTATACCTGAGGAATCTGAGGCCCAAGGTTTTATGTCTTGCCTAAGATCACACAGGTGGTAGGTGTTGAAATTAAGATTTGAACCCAGGACCTCTCACTATAGAGCCAGTGCACATTCTACAATTCTGTGCTAGAAGATCAATAAAAATGGTATCTAATAACTTACATATTTCTACTAAGGACAGTTAGACCAATCAAACACTTACTAAACACCTTTATCTTTACCAGGTGTTGTGGGAGGAATGACAATAGAAGACATGATCCCTGACTCTGAGGAACTTATAACCTGGCTGGGAAGAAAATACATATACAAATAAAAAATTAAGAGGATTATATGAGGAAATTTGGCTTAGATTAATTACTTCTTGACTATTTTGTTTCTCAGACATCAGAATGGGGTACATTAAAGACAGTTAGACAATCTCATTTTATAGAAATTTTTCAGAAGGGGACAGATGGACAACTGTTTGTTTTAATTGGTCCAGATGAAGAGCAGTCATTATTAAAGATGGAGATAAAGACTGGATGGGCCATAGAGTTATCTTTCTGACAGAGAGGTGAAAACCTGTATAGACAAACACATATGCTATGTTAAATGTTTGAGGTACTGATTTTCTTTGACTTGGAGTCTTCAAATCTTCCCCTAACACTTATGATCTGTATGACCATGAGCATATCATAATTTCTCTGAGTCTTAATTTCTTCATCTGTAAAACGGGGATAATAATAGCATCTATCTCATAGGCTTGCTGTGGGAAATGGATGAGATCAAGTATGGAAAGGACTTTGGAAACCATAAAGCATTATAGAACCATGAGGTGCTCTTATTGATTTACCATGAAACATCTCTAAAGAGTTATCTGTCCATTTTCTCTATGTTTTTGTATGGCCTCCTCCCACATTACTACTGAGTTTCTTTTGAAATCTGGTTCCCACTCACATTTATCTCCCCAAACTGCTCTTTTGAAGGTCACCAATAAGCTATTTCTATATTCAACAGTTTTCTAAGCCCTTATCTCCCTTGACATCTCAGCAGCATAACAGTACTGATTCCTTCCTTGAAACTTATCATCCATGAACCTCATGACACCATGCTCTCATGGTCCCCTTACTGTCCTTATCTTTTTGGTCTGCTCTTTCTTTCTCTTTCTGCTCCCTAAATGTGAGTTTTCCTTGGGGTTCTATCCTTGCTCATCTTCTCTTATCTCTCAACTTTCATTGATTCCTGTGGCTTCAACTATCAACACCCCAAAATAGTTCTCCTGCTCTGTTCTCTCTATCAAACCCTGGTCTTAAGTCTCTGCCAGAGTGTCCTGCCAACACTTCCAATTCAACATATCTAAAACTGAAACTATCTTCCTCTGCAAATTTGCCTCCCCCTGGTGACTTTCATTTCTATTAATATCACCATCATTCTACTAGTCACTTGGGTTGAAAATTCAGTCATATCTGACTCTTCTTGCTCCCTTGCATATCACGTCCTGTTTATTTCTAAACCATCTCTGTATCTGTCTCCTTTATGCTCTCACTTCTACCACCCTAATCCAGTCCCTCATTACCACTAGGTTTACTATAATGGCCTCCTAAATGATCTCTCCTCTCTGTCTCTCACCCCTCCAACCTGTCCTACATATACTTTCAGGGTAATCGTCAAATATATCTAGAGCTTCAGGGGACATCAAGGCTACCCTCTCATTTTACAGATCATGACACTGAGTCTCAAAGGGATTAAATGACTTCTTCAATGTCACTTCTCAGCTCAAAAATCTTCAATAACTCTTTATTTCTCATTGAATAAAGTCTAATCTTATTACCCTGACATTTTAAGCCCCCATCTAATTTCCTACTACCTATATTCCTCTTCACCTACTTTAAGCTCCAGCCAAATTAGACTTTTCACCCTGGCAGTAATGGTCCATGTACAATTCTACCTTTGTGAATTTGGTTCCTGATGTTTCTTCTATCTGTAATGATTCCCTCCTAAGATGCTTGAGGTTCATGTAAAAGCAAAATCTCCTCTGATTATGTATTTCCTTTGTTCTTCCCCTTCCTCAACTTGGTCTCATAGAGAAGTGATCTCCCCTTGCCCCCAAATTCCATGTTGTGTTTGTATCTCTTATACAGAACATTTTAAAAACCATACTCATATATATGTTTTATACTCCATATTAGATTGTAAGCTCCATGAAAGTATAGTTTATGCCCTATTCATCGCTACTAGGCAGAGGCCTGATGCATACTGCTTAGTTACTTAATCATGGAAAGAATGAGCACTCTCTCAATGTACCTTAGGGGTACCAACCTACTATTTCCTTATTTTCCAGCATATTTGAGCCTGCTTGTTGAGTAGTTGCACTATACAAAAGGACCAATGTGTAAAGGTTGTGGAGTCTTTGGTACCACTGAACTAAGTAGTAACTAATAGTGACATGGTGACAGAAACTGGAATCAATGAGATTTCATAACAACATTACTTTTTCTCTTTTCATAGGTAGTATTTACATGGGTCAGGTAATGAATTGACCCAGGTTCATTACCTACAGTATTTAAAACACACTTAGGGGACATCTGCAAAATAGTCTAGGTTCTGATATGAGTTCTAGGAAAATATGGTAACATCCCTATGCCTGGCACATTAACATGCCCCTCTTCTGTGAGTCCTCTTCTCCCATTAGAATGTAAGCCTCTTGAGGGCAGGAACTTTCTCTTTTGCTTGTATTTGTATCTCCAGTACTCAGCACAGTGCCTTGAAAGTAATAAGCAACTTCCTTTTCCCTCCCTTCCTTCCTTCCCTCCCTGATATTCCACCGAAAAATCCAGGACCAGTAGAGTACTAGGATCTATATTCTATTGGAACTTACAATTAATACAAAGCACATGAATATCACAGGAAAATAGGATGGAATTTGTGTGTATATATATACATGCACACACACAGATGTATGTATATATGATTAAGGGATGGTATCACTTTAGAGTAAAGTTATTTAATAAGTCAAATCCCATTACAACCAATATTGCTATAACTAAAATATAATAAAAATCTTTCCAAGTCTCACCTGAAGACCCATTTATTTTAAATAGTATCTGACAAGAAACTTAGAGAACCTACCAATGGGATCTGACCTATTCAACCTGAATGAAATAATCTGTAACTTCTATCCCATGATATTACTACAAGTTGGATTAATGTGCAACCTAAACACATAAGTCTGAGAATTTAACAGAAAGTTCGGCAAAGAAAAGCGGCATCAATTGGCTTTTTATGGGACAATTCTTCTCGCTTCTGTTTTGGATAGAACGTAAGCTTCTTGCAAATAGGGCTCACTTCATTCTTTATATTTGCATCTAGCATAGTCTAGGGCACATGCTAAGTGCTTGATAAATGCTTGTTAAATGAATGACTGGGAGAATCTAATCAAAATGGTGAGTCTGTGAATGAAGTTCTGAATTGGAATAGATCAAGGTTCTGTTAGACCATGGATTCTGTTTTAGCCCTAATTGGGCTTGGCGTTAGGGAGACATTTTGGAGCTACCATGGCTAAAGTTATCAACATGTACCACACCAGAGACATCTTCCTTGTGGACCAAGTACTTAAAAACGACAAACTAACCAGCAGTCTATGGGAATCAATAACCAAAAAGGAGAATTACAAATATAGGTAGGCTTTGAGATGAACCTTAATTTAACAAATAAATGTGATGAGTGACTTGCATAATACTGTAAAAGCGAAATTTAGATTCATGTGTTCAAGAAGAAGAAATAAAGAGACTGAAACACTGAACTGAGAAAGAGAAATTGAAAAAAAAACTGAAATAGAAAGACCAACATGCAAAGAAGATAGATAGTTTTATAATTTAATAAGATCCATTTACAACAATTTTACAAAACACTTTCCTAGTATACACATAGGACATAAAAAAGCAACCCATTGGGCCTCAGTCACACTCATCTGCAAAATGGAGGCAATAGTGTAGGCCCACCAAATTCTCTGCCTAATCTTGCCAGTGATTATGGAGCTGCTGCATTTTAGGAGATGGGTTAATTATTTTGGGCCACAGGGGTACTACAAATACAAATGGTTCATTTAATAAATAGCGAGTCAGCCCCAAAGAATTAATGTACCTCCTAAAAGTAAGGTACCTTAATACATTAGTATCTTATTGTTTTCAAGATGCTTTGAGATCTCCACCAGTAAAATAAGTATGAAATAAAATTGTACAGGCAGTAATCTTAAAATAGGGATGGAAATAGAAAGTGCATGCAATAAAAGGTGGAGAAAAATTACCACTTAGAGAGGCAACTCTTAGACTAGTCTATGGGCTATAATGTAACCTCAAGAGAGAAATCAAGAATCTAGACATAAGGCACCATTTCCTGAATGTTGCCCCTGGAGGGATCCCAAAGTACCTTACTTTGTCTTCCTCCAGTTACAGCAGGCTAGATTATTCCCACCTGGAAACTGGAGGTGGATGGGTGTGTGTGTGTGTCAGGGGGAGGGGGAGAGGGAGGGGGAGGTGGAAGGGGAAGAGGGCAGGTGGAAAGGAGGGCAGGAGGGTAGAGTGTAAAGTTGTGTTTGACACCTTATAATCCTGGGAAACAGTTTGTTCATCCTGGCACAACTCAATCATCCTTGGATGGGAACATGGAGGGGGGGCGGGCTCTCATGAATGACCTTGGGCAGAGCCCAAGATTTCTCTGTGAGCAGAGACTAGAGCCTCTAACATGGCATGCTAGAAAGGAGAAGAGGAAGACAGCAGCTCAATAGGCGCTCTTTTCCCCCAGGGCTGCTAAATTGTTTAGCATCTTTCAAAAAAAAAAAAAAAGCCAGGCATCTCAAATACAAACCCCTAAGGAGATCGTAGGAAGAAGCAGAGGCATCCTTAAAATAGAAAGCAAATCCACCAAAGGGACTGGATACTGTACCTTTACTTTGGGGAGGGTTCTGACTCCGGTCTCGGAGGACATTAATTTGATAGACAGCTCCGTAAGGCTCAAAAAGTTCTTTTAGCTCCTTCTCAGACCACGACCGGGGGATCTGTCCGACAAACATCTTAATGGCATCTGGGTCCGGTTGGTCTGAGTGATCCAAAGCGCCGTTCATCTTGTTAGCTGTACCGTTACTGTCAAGAAACCGAACCAGAAGGCAGAGTTAGGAGAGCATGGTTGAGGGACAGGAAGAAAGAAAAAAAAAAAGAATCAAAAGCAGGGGGTGGGGTAGAGGATGGGGAAGGGAAGAAGAAGTCGGGTGGCGGGGGGGGGGGAATGGGAGGAAAGTGCCTAATGAGTCGTATAAATTTCACCAACTAAAACAAAGCAAGAGCACAATTACATTGCTCATGGGTGAAGGTTTGCACTGCGGGCTGCTGTTTAGTATCATCGCCTGAGCAAAGGGCTGAGAACGGCAAGCTATCAGCCAGGGTTTTCACATCTTGCAAGCAAAGGCTGAAGAAGAGATGGTTTCAAGTTAAGGGGAGGTCTTTTTGCATGGCTGCCATCAAGAGAACAGCCAGGCATCAACCCCAAACGAGCAATGGGAGCCAAAGGTGGGGTGGGGGCGGTTGGAGGAGAAAGACGACAGGAGTTGAGCTGTCTTTCTGGTAGTATTTATTTTATTTTATTATATTTTTTTTGGTAATAATAAAGTCCCACAAAAAAGGAAACACTTGGCAATCTGTCAGATGAGGAATGCAAGATGCTAGTGATGAATTTGCAGATTGTGTGAAGCATCCGCGGGTGCATCAAATTAGTGCATCGCTGCTCAGAATGGAAAACACTCCAACTATGCGGCTGGTGGCAGCTGATTGGCTGCTCATGCTTTATAAAAAGGAATGGGAACGTGAAAGGGGTGGGAAGGGGGCTCCAGTTTTTAAAAAGCGCATTGTTCCTGGCGCTAGGGCACAAAGCACAATTCAGAAAGGCAAAGGCAATCTCAGAATTGCCTGCTTTGTGCTGGAAAAAAAGGGGGGGGACCATTAAGCTTTAGAAAGTTGAGTTCCCTGTAAAGGGCACTGAATATTTCACATCTTCCACACTCCATAAATTGTTCCCTGTATCTGATTTCCAGATGTTGTACTTGAGTTCTAAACAATCACAAGTTTTTGTTGTTTTGTTTTGTTTGGGAGAGGTGGGGTATTGGATAGAAAAATTCTACATTTTATTCTTAGGACATCCCATAAATGTTTGGGGGCTGACACAAGAAGATAACAATTTTCCTAAATATCTTTTTTCAAAGCTCAAATTTTGAAAGTGCTAATAGGGGTTCAGAGCCTGAAATTCATGGTACCGTCAAGCAACTGAAAGTAATTTTCAGTTGTTTACTCTTATCATTCCTATTTAAGATGTGATCAGCAAAGAAAGCATGTGTTACACAGATCAGCACCTTCCCTCTCCTCTCCTTCAAATATAATCCCAAAGCCCACCTGTTCTATGAAGCAGACAGCTGCTGAATTTAGCCCTGCTGCCTGCTCATTTGTACTACTGTGCTTAGTTTGGATTCTCAGGCTGTAAGATCTTCATGGCAGAAACCTGTCTTATTCTTATTTAAATACATGTAAGATACTGCACGGCTACCCTTTAAACACCGCAACCTCCATTACAAGGGGCAAAATGACCAGAAAAAAGCTAAAGCAATTATACATGTTTGTTTAAAAATTAAACATTATAAAGCATGTGGAATTTCACTTTTGCCTTCAGGTTATTATTTGATATTCAAGGGAAAACATTCCCTTAATAAAATAAAGATTTATTTGGTAAAAGTGTGCTGAAAATCTGGTGAGCTTGTAATGGAAGATGCTAGAAGATCTGGGTTCAAATATAGTTTTACTTAGTGACTGTGTGACTTTGGGTAATTCACTCAATCTCTCTGAGCTTCAGTTTCCTCATTTTCAGATGAGGGGATGGGATTAATTCAAGGATTCTTAGTCTAGGGTCCATGGATCTCTTGGGAGTCTATGGATAGATTTTAGAAGGTCCATGCACTGGGGTGGAAAACATATTTATTTTCCCCTTTGTAACTGAAATTTAATATTTCCTTCAATTATGAATTTTTGAAAATTTAAAAAGAAATATTATTCTAAGAAGTTTTCATTTAGGTTTCTGGTGAAACATAGGTTTCACTAGACAGGCAAACAGAATCTATGACACAAAAAGGGTTAAGAAACCATGGATTAAATGATCTCTAAGACCCCTTCACCTCTAAACCATAAGATTCTATGCTTCTCTGTGTCCTACTAACTAAAAAGAAACTGTTTTGGGGAAAGAGAAATTTTAAAATTTATACGAAGATAAAAAAAAATTCTCACTAGGACCAACATTTAACTTTTTATTTTTCTCCTATCTCTCCTTTCTATTATTTCCCTCTCTGATTTCTTTGAAACAATTCTGTTTTCATCATAATTTCAGAAGATTCATCACTTGCTTCAATCAATTTTAGTTTTTTAAAAAGGAAATAATGTATAAAATACAAACTATAAAACCTTTCAATGGCTTGAATAAAATGTTATGTTTACACTAAAACTGTTTAATATTTTTGTTTGCTTATGTGTTTACCCTATTTTCAACAAATTCTTTGAGAATTTAATGAACATTTTAAGAAAGTTGAAATTATGGCTTCAGTTGTATGTGTGTGGGGAAAGCACACAAAAACTCCCTCAGCAATACAGAGTTTCAACATGTCTGTAGCAGGTTGAAAGTGAGGCAAGACTTATTTCTGGGACAGGAAAGGTCTTGTGGTTACTGCAGTTGACAACAGCCCATCAAAAAAGGGGAAGGCTTTGCCCCAGTTCTCAGCTTCTACAGAAAGCGAGGACAGAATAATTCGGCTTTACATCTTCTTTTCGCAGAGTATAATTAAAACTGACCACCTCAGAGAGGCAGGAATCGACTGCTGCCTGTTTCAATCATGTCTGAATATTGTTATTACTTCTATAGTTTGTATCTAAATTTCAGATTCTAAAGCCAATGGCCCCCAGTGTCTAATAGATGATATTTTTACTTTCTCAAAGGGTACAAAATTCACACAGAAGCTGCAGAATTGTAGGAGAGGAACAAAAACAAGTTGGTTAAACTTCAGAATTACTATTTATGTTTGTAAATTTTAGGAAAGCTGGGGTCAGTTTCTAAGGGCCGTGGGCCATGGTATGGCCTACAATAAACTGACTGAATGTTTGATGGTGTCACAGAGATTCAACAGCACTGGGTTTGGGTTCTAATCCTTGATTTGCTATTAACTAGCCAAATGGGAGTTAGGAAAGTCTCTATGCTTCTTCTCCTTGGGTCTCAGTTTCTTTATCAATAAAATGAGGGGGGCTGGGCTAAAGAATAGCGAGGTTTTAATCTTTTAGGACCCAATAGGTATGATATTATATGGTTGTCAGCCCCTTCCTCATCCAGCTCAAATCATTTCCACTTGTTCCCTAAATCAAAACACAACTCTCACCATAGTTTTCAAGATTCCTGAGAAAATGTTAATTTCTTGAGAGCATAGATTTGGAGATTTTATTTTGTTCTTAGTGAAGAGCTGGCTTTGAAGCCAGGAAGACTTAGGTTCAAATCCTGTCTATGAATCATGCTGGCTATGTATAGATCCTGAGCAAATCACTCAATTTTTCAGTGCTCTAGGCAGATCTCTAAAATTATGAGTTTCAGAGAAGGTACCAACTTGCATTGGTAGAGGGAGTTTCCCCACCCAGAAGTCCTCTATGTCAATGTCCCCATCCCTAGCATTTGTGTCCCTAGGACCTAGCATATAGCAGGCACTTAATAAAAACTTGTGGATTGATCCTTTACTCCTGAATGTCTTTCACCTATGCTTCTTTCTCCTTCCAATGCCAAACTTTAGTCTGGGTGTGTGCCCGGTTCTAGTGGAGACTAACACACGTCTTGCTTCTTGTCTCTGTCAGTTGCAACACTTCTGAGCATGCCCAATTAAGGCATGTTCCTTGTAGTAGAGTGAGAAAGACAAATTAGTCCACTTGTACATAAAGCTGAAGAGGCTATCTCTTCATAAATATATGACAACTTGAATTCTTGACTACAGATGGGAAGATAAGGCTGTATTATTATCCATTTCTAGCACCCCACGACCTCTTAGAATCCAATTCAATGAATATGCTTTGCATGAAGGTATTTAACTTGCCAATGTACATTTCTAAATTATGAGGTTTCTTGTTTAAGCAACAGGGACCCAGAGGTCCATCTATACTTTCCTGTTTGAATTTTCTCAATAATACAATAGGTTTCTTAGGGTGGATTTTGTTTACTTTTTGCCAAAAACCAACTGGTGTTCCCATGGGATCCCTTTGAGGCTGATAATCCATAGAGACAGAGAAAAAGAGAGTTTAAATTACTGTCCCAGAGAGCCCCAAAGCATGTCACTGTCACTTGCAAGTGCAGGAAGTATAGAAATTCAGAAACAAAAAGACAACCTTATTCCTTTAAGCACAGACACTGGCTTAAGTATTTTCTCACTTGATATTGGTTGAATGTAGAAGAAACTAGATCAACAATCATCATCTTGGAAGTCAGCCTTATATCTGTCCACCTGGTTGGCTTGTGGCACTAGGCTAGTCACTTACCCCCTCAATGGTTTAGCTTTTGCATGTCTCATGGATATGCTTGAGACACTTCAGGAGCTGGTTGGGAGGGAATGAATGCATTCCAGGCATGAGAGCTAATCTCTTCCTACTGACTATGAGATTTTGATTCCAAGAAGTATAGTTTAGATGAGATGATTCATTCATGACAGAATATGGGTCATCTGTCAAGCTGCATGGGTCCCACAATGTGACTCTTTCTCCATGTACAATTTGGGCCATCAGGCCACAGGTGACCAAGTCCATAGGCTTAATAGATGGCTGAGTGTCCTCTACATTGTGGAGAACTGCTCAAGGGCATATATTAACTGCTATAAATGTGTGGGAGGGGTGAGCTATTTATGTTTGTGGTCAGAGCATCTCTTTCAGTTTGTGCAAATGTTCTTTCTAATAACCTGACCACTGTCCCATCCTTTCATTTAGCTGACAGGCCAGTTTCTCAACAGAGACCAGAATAATTTTTTAATATCACTTATGTTTCTATGATAGTATCTAAAGAAACCGTTTTTGTTTGGTTGTCATAGAAA